TAAATTAGAAACATAAAATCGATTAATACTCAATGCTGGCAAAGATGCAACAAAATAGTATCTTTGGCTAATATGCAATTTGGTACAGTCTTTCTAGAAAGCAATGTAGTAATAATATGTAGCAAGAGCCTGAAAAATGTTCACACCTCGTTGTGATTCCATTTCTGGGAATCTTCTGGAAATAATCTAAAAGGTGAGGGAGTATAAAAAATGTTTCACATTTCAAATTTCATACATGGAAATCCCAAATATGGGAAAAATTAATGTAATTAAATGTCCAGTAAAAAGGAATGGCTATAAGCCATGGTATATCCATTAGACAGAATACCAAAAGCTATTACAAATGATCCAAAATGTTAGGTTTATAAACAGTAACAGAAATTTTAATATATAGTATGATCTGAATTATAAAAAGCACTAGAAGTAGTCATGTTAAGTTCCTTTTTTTGTTTTTAGAGACAGAGTCTCACTATGTCCCCCCAGCTAAAATGCAGTGGTGTCATCATAGTTCACTGCAACCTCCAACTCCTGGGCTCAAGTGATCCTCTTGCCTCAGTCTCCCAAGTAGCTGGGACTAGAGGCACATGCCACCATGCTCAGCAAATTTTTCTACACTTTGTAGAGATGGGGGTCTCTCGCTCTTGCTCAGGCTGGTCTTGAACTCCTGACCACAAGCAGTTCTCCTACCTTGACCTCCCAGAGTGCTGGGATTACAGGCATGAGCCACTGTGCCTGGCTCTAAGTTACTTTCATAATCACTTACATTTAAAAAAATTATGACACCAATGTGAGAATCAAAAAAGTCCAAAAACCTATTTAACAATCAATGGCTCAACTTTTCCACATATACCTATGAGAAGCCAGATAGAAATGACAAACCTGCGGGTGTATGTAAATATTTACGCTTGTTTGCCTCCTCCACCTCGCACTGCCACTGGCTGGCTGTTCTGAACAAATGCACCTCCTCCACGAATTGCACTTGGATGAGTTGGAGAAGCTGCTGGATGTTGCCCAGGACGAATAGGTTTAGCTAGTATGAAAGACAAAGGCTGACTTTAGAATAAAGCTTAATACACGACTACAATGACTGACGCCTAGGTCTCTTCTCTTTATTCACTCCAAATTCTCAAATGTTTTGTTTTTCTTTGCTTTTGTTTCTCTCTCTTTCTTTTCAGTTACATCCTTTTCTCCAGGACTTATACAATCCTTAGCCTCTTAAAAATCTTCCTGCACCAATGATTATTCTGAAACATGAAATAACTGCTGATCACTTACTTTCTTGCAATTCTTTCCTTTGCTTTAACAATATTGCTCTATAATTTCTCTTATCTCTGACCATTCTTGTTTATGTCTCTAGTTCTTATTTATCTTCTTGTCCTGTTAATGTGGTTATTTCTCAATTTCTCTTTTGCTTCCCAACAGTGCCACTCTTTGGTAAGATAGAAAATAAAGACAGACACACCCTGACAACACATTATAAAATTCAGGTAATGTTTTCAACTAAAGGAAAGCATTCAAGCTGAGCAAGGTGTACAGGTTTTAATGTGTTCTACTAACCAATCTGTGCAGAATGCCCTCTTCTGGCCATATTCTTTGACCTGACTGCTTCCTTTATGCGATCAACTTCTTGCTGGTAGCGTTTGCGATCACGAGATGCATTTTCTTTGGCTTCCTTCAGTGCTGACTCCAAAGCTTTCACTCTCTCGGCTGTAGCTCGAAGTCGCTTTTCCAATTTAGGAAGTTCGCAGCGAAGATCCGCATTATCACGTACCAACTAAAGGCACACAAAGATAACAAGGATTCTAGCTTTAACAGGAAGATTTGAGAAAGTCTGAACATTTCATAATTGCTCTTTAGAAAAGAATCATTACCAAAAGTTTTTCATTTAGCTAATTTAATTTAGGCACAAACATGCTGAAAATACATCCATCCATCCATATCATATTTCTTACAAAGAAATACACATATTTCTTATAAAGATATAATTTAATTTATTGAGGTGGATTATTCTTTCTCCTGCTAGGCAAAGACAATAAATTACAACATAGTGCTAGGTTTCTTCGACAAGGTAACTAATCTAGGGAATGAATATCCCTTTATATAAACTACTTACACAAGTAAACAAACTTAGCAAGCCCCTTAGTAAGTGCTGAAGAGCTAAAATGTCTTTAATCTCACTGTAGTGCAAACAATGGGTTTACATTAACAAAGATATACAAGAGTCAAGTGTGTTAAGAAACTTTTTTATCAGTAACCTAAATCATTTACAAGTAATAATAAAGAATAAGCAAAGGCCAGGCGTGGTGGCTCACGCCTGTAATCCTAGCACTCTGGGAGGCCAAGGTGGGTGGATCGTTTGAGCTCAGGACTTTGAGACCAGCCTGAGCAAGAGCGAGACCC